TTCACATGAATAAATTCTGAATTTTAAACAACACAAACACTAAAAATGAAAAAGATCAATTTATTTATTTTATATTTGATAAACATATAATTTTTTTTGGATTCACAAAAACTTTCACAATACCATTTTATTCATACTTAAATAGAAACAAAACTATAAACAACATATCCGGACGTAGCCCGGATCATTTTCTAGTTTGAGCTATTAAAATTTCATGTGTATATGCTAAACATTATGGTTCATATTTTTTTATGGTAGGTCAGCTGACCCACAATCCCTCTACGTGGGTCCGCCACTGCTTTGGACATCATCAGTACCCGTTCGGGTAATGAACACCGAAATTATTAACGCAAATGATAATTCAAAACATGATCAACCCGGTTTTATTCATAGTATGACACAAAGAAAATGTGGTCCAAAGTCTAGCCGGTGGTAGGAACTCTGACGACGATACGGTTAGTATCAACCCAAACTCTGACCCGGTTCTCCCATAGGTCTGTAGTCACTATACTTCCAATCAAAAGCACGACAACAACCAAACTCGGGTTCTCTCTTTTATCAATGAAGCCGCATAGTCTCCATTTGTTCCCAAAAGCTCCGGCCACATCTTCACTGCATGCAGTCAAAGCAACCACGTACGTTAGATCATTTAATTACGTTTGGCATTTTATAGGTCAATAAGCCATCACTCTAATCCATTTAATTAAACAATATATATCCAGCTACTATATATGCCTCCAAAATCGTATTTGGGTAAATGTAACCTCTTGAATTGTTATTGAAACATGGACATTATCAAAAGAAAAACATCAACATGGCTTGTTCATATAAACCGATGTCAATATAGAAATACAAATACGTACACTAAAAAATACTACGTAATTGATGGTTACAACTTACAAAGCATAATTAGGTTAATTTCTTAAATGTCACTATATATTCTTGGTCTCATTCACCTGCTATAAATCAATCGAAGTGGAAGATTCGTTTGAATCTATTACATATATCATGTAAGCTAAGCTATTCATTTTTATGAAAAAACTTTTAAAAATTGTATGATTTCTAACCTAGCATGTAAAATTATTTATAATTAGTCCTTGTTACATATGACGTGGACACGTGCATGATGAAACGAAAGGAGCGGTTAGTCAGCTTAATTAATATGACGCCAAATTATAAATAGACAAATATTTTCAAAAAAAAAAAAAAATTATATGCAGACAAAAAAGGAGTAAACTACTAAATAATTTTACCGATTTGATTAGAAGGAT